TGCCCGCTACACCTCCACACGGCCTTCAGGAGCCGCGCTACAACGTCACTGCTTCAGGGCTCTGAGGCCGATGATGCTTTTAAAAAGCTAAAGATGTTAAAAACGAGGATAACCTGATAACTGTTCTTTCAGGAGAGGGTGCTGCAGGGACAGGAAATCAACTCTCACGCAAGGAGCCCCAGAGGGACAAAGCGGTAGATAACCATCAATTCTTCCTCCCGCTATTACCCTTTTTCTGCCCTCCGAGGCTTCCCTAGTTCGCATAAACCGCCCTTCCCTGCCCCCCGGCACCGGCTGGAAGTCTTGCTGGAGGCCACGTAAGCAGAGCCGGGGGCAGCAACGCGAGGCGGTTGAGAGCTAGCATCTTTGCAGCCATCGCCTACTGGCAGACGTTGGTGAACAGGACATTCGGCAAAGCTGGCTCAGGCACAGGTAGTTACTTTTTCCAAACTGATCCTGCAGGAGACAGTAGCAATAGCTTCTGTTACACCTCGTAGTTACACTGTTTTCCTCGGAGAGGTCTAACAGATTCCCCAAGAAAGTGCAGCACAATCCTCGTACGGACGTACTGTATGGAAAATCAAAAATGCAGCGTCCGGAGAGAAAAGTTGAATGGACAACAGCGTCACCATAGGCAATGTAGTCATGCAAGTGGCTGTTACTACAGTCTAGTAACAATACCAAATAAGTTACTAAAAGAAATCGCACTGCGTATCTCGCTGTCTCATACTTTCACTGCAGTATTTGGAAAAAAAACAAAACAAAACAAAACATAAAACAAACCCAAAAAACAGATAAAATCATTCTTATGCTTCCAGGAAAGTTTTCACTACCAAGTCAAAAAAAATTAATTGATCCTTTACAAGTTTCTGTTACTAAACTGATAATGAAGGGGGGGGGGGCGGCAGATTTTAAACACATTCAACCTTGAATAAATAATTTTATTGTAGTTAAGTAAACAAATTACAGTAGCAACAAATACAAACATATTTTCATAATGTGAAGGCGATTTGTTATACTTCATCTCTGCTACATTATATTAAAAAACCCGATTATTGCTTATTCCCGCTATAAAAATGCAAGAGGCACATTGTCAAGGGTAACAAATAAAAGTTGTCAGCACTTTCTCCATTTCATTGCATCCTCTCTGTCTGCATGGGAACTTCAAAATAACGATCCAAACGTGGATTACAGCATTGTTAACAACCAAAACAGCAACCCACCAAAACTCCACGCTGATACAGTAACTTCTACACTGAAGGAGTAAGAGGATATTATCAAATAAGTTTTGAAGGATTTATCAAAAAAATTTGATTTTAGTTTTTATTTAAAATGTCAGCACAACCCAAACCTTGATAAATGTTTTTTAAAGTTTCGTGTGATGAGATTATGTCATATGTTTTGACTTCCAAATAATTTTACATCATTTATATAAAAACATTTAAAAACGTAGTTAATCTTTCGATGCTTTTGTTTTGAACCGTTATATTTGATAATTTATGACAGTCTATCAAAAATAAATACGAAACTGTGCAGAATATATTTTATGCTCTTCAGGCACATACAAGCATGGTTTTGGCAAAATATTAAAAGCCTGTACAAAGGATAAGCTAATGAAAACTAACAGCACGTAGAGTTTGCAGAGTTTATTTGGAGTCCTCACTTTGTGCATCGCCTTCTCCAGCGATCTTTTTTCTAGCCAAGTCCCTGTACGCGCCCACCATTACTCGCTCTCTAGATGGTCCAAGATCTTGCAGCTGTTTTCTCTGTGTGGTTTCTAGTTCTTCCAACCGCTTGCGAAGCACGGAAAGCTCTCTTTGATGCTGCTCCTCCTTGAAATTATAAAAAAAAAAAGTGGCTCTGTTACATTTTGCACACCTACAAGGGACCAAAATGAGCAATAGTTTCATTTCCTTTAATTAACGATTTTAAAATAAAAATTGTGAAGTCCAAAATACCCTTATTCCTTAAATTTTACTCCTCAGTGTTTTGTGGGTATTGTTCTGACATTCACGATGAACAGCATCAGCAGGAAATACGCGTGCAGGCGTTCCTCCTCTCAGATGAAGAGGCAGGCAGACCTGAGGTCTCGGCTACCAAGAATCTGTAAAGTCAGCCTGATCAGCCTGGTCAACCTCAGCCAGAGAGATTTTCACCCTCAGAAGCTCACCAGAGTGAGTAAAACTTTAACCACACAAGAAATCAAGAGCAGCGATACTGCTTTTTAATAATGAAACCACGGTGTGAGAACACCACTACGGTATTTCTTGCCCAGAAGGAGCTGTTTAAAGCCTCTCGGGAGAAGGACACAGTACGGAGAACCAGGTTAAAACTGCCCGTTTGTTACATTCTGTAACATATCGTTTGTCTATCAGGAGCTCCCTCCTATTGCGAGGAAGGGAACAGCGCTAGAAGCATTCCTCAAAGTTTCCTTCCTCTGTTCAAAGATCAAATACTCCTTCCTTAAGACTAAGGTCTGTAATGAAGGACGGTTCTAGTACCCTCTTTCGTTGTGTTACTTTCACAACTTGTAATACATCACCACCTGAAGAAGGGGGAAGGACGCTTCAGGCCCAGGAGGCAAGGCAGATGATGACATTGTACTGACTGGATTGAGTGATGGTATGTTAGGATTCAGAATTAAACTCCGGAATTCGTTGTGTCTACGTTGCAAGTCCTTTAGTCTCTTCTGGAGGCGTGCATATTCTTCATAGGAAACATTCTGCCTAGGAAGTAAGAGATTTCTAAGAAATCAAAATCTTTATTATCCCAACATAGAAGCATACCTCTCCACGAGTACTGTACTGTTTATTATGCCTACAAAGGAAAACTATATACCAGAAAAACTGGAAGGTGGAAGATCTGTGTATATTCTTCTGCCTAAATGTCTATCTAGAAGTCCCTCTACACATTAAGCTACCTGCTGTATTACAGATTAGAATTTACATGGAATAAATTAAGCTTTTAATAGCATTCACAGTAGTGAGCCGCAGGAGCCACATTAAATTAATTATCTGAATCAAGCCCTCCATAGGTACGCAATGAAGAGAAGAAAAATAGCTTGTCTTTCAAAGAGGATGCTAAGTCTGCTTCTCTTGCAATTCCAAAGTCTTTTTCTTTCCCATCTTCCATTTATTTTCACATACCGTACTTTCAACTCTAACAGTGCTTCACTGCCACATCTCCTTTTTTACATACTTCCTTCTTTTGAGGGGATTCCTGCAACTGCGTGTCAGATATTTTTCCTCCATTTCTTCCTGAAGAGACAGCCCCGCAGCTGTCCCAAAGTCTTAGCTGTCCATCCTAAATGGATTCTATTCAAAGAATCCTAATGCTGAAAATGTCATTAGATGGGACTCCAGTTACTAAACTGTCATGCACCTTCAAAATTACTTCATATTTGTAAGTCAGATCTTGGGCATATATCATTTTTCAAGTTCAGAAAAAGCAAAGTTCATTACCTATTTAGCACCTGATTTTCTTTTTCTAGCTCTTCTATCTTGGCTTCCAAAAGTTCTAGTTTCTCTTGCATCCTCCTTTGTTTATTATCATTGAGCGTCTTTCTCTGTCAAACAGACATTTCAAACAGAGCTAAGTAATGCCTTGATAGATTAGATCCTATAAAAATTAAATCTACACTGCCTATGGTTTCAAAGCTGTGACAGTTTTTAGGATTTTCCTTCCTTAAGAAGCAGCAGCGCTGTGTTGTTTGAAGGTTCTGAATCCCCATGATGGGAAACAAAAGAGATGGGAAATGATCCATAGCTGCGACTGAAAGCTGCACAGCTGTCAGTCACTCGTTGGTCAGTGACTTACTGTACTAACAAACACTAACTGTATTTGAGAGTTACAAAATTCATTCTTTAAATAACCATACATAAATAAGTATAAACACGACCAAAAAAAGTATGCTTGGTTTTGGTTTGGTTTGGTTTCGCCCCCCCGGCCCCACTCATGTTGACCTCAACTTTTAAAAACCTTAAAAACCTTACTGGTAGGTTTCATAACCTGTATATGTCCAGTGTATAAAGCTGCCAATTAATCTTGACCTTTTATAAACAATTAATCAGCTTTTTCTTCCAAGTTATTTCATAAAAAGCAGCTTAGGAGAAGATATAAAAATTTAATATTCCATCAAGGAAAAGCAGAACATCGTTTGTCTGGTATCCAAACCATCATCCCTACTAATCAAGAAGTCCACCTCTTAAATAACCATATATATATACACACACACACACACACAAAGCCTCACAAAATCTTTGATGGCATTATAACAAAATTGTTGGCTGTAATATTCTTCTGCATATCCCTTCAAACCTAGTTCTGTGCTAATCCTGAAGAAAAAATATATTTTGCTACTATATTCAGTAGATTGCAAATAAACTCTTAATAACAAAACAATGCTAGCTGCCCAAAGTAAAGCTGAACTTTTCATAAGCTGGATCATTCATAAAGGAAGAGTCAACGTGCCTTTTTCTGAGCAAGAGCAGCTCGACATAGCTTGTTCTTCACTTGGTTGTATTTCTCTTCTTTCTCTGTGATACGCTGAGTAAGCACATGCTTCTCCTCCAGCCATTCTATACGTTTGTATTCTAAAGTCCTTTGAAAAAATCAGGTAAAAAGATCAAGAGGTTATATAGACAAAGCAGTGCGTTTGATTAATGCCTCAAGGCTCCTAAAATAGATGCATCTTTTCACAACTCCTCCCTTTATATACTTGAAGGATCTGATTTAAATTTGATTGTGCACAAGATTCACCAAAATTGAACCTGTGCTTTAACAACACCCTAGGTTTTGTTCAAGTATGAGGCACATTTTGAAAACTGATTCCAATAAGCTAGTTAATTGTAGGCTGTTTGTTGGTTTGGCATGTTACCAAACCATCCGTGGAAAATTCCTAAATTTAGCTCAAATAATCACACTGGAACACAACAGTAGACACCTATGCCAAACATCAGCTGTCAGAAGAGCTGACAACTGCCTGCTCTGTTTGGAAGGGAAGATGTAAGAGAATAGGTTGCTGCCCTGTGTGGTCTACTATGCCTTTGTAACAGAGAAGTATAGACTTGACTAGCGTGTGCTCCCGACCAGAACAAATGCCAACACAACAGGAAGCTCCCGCTGCTATGGTTCCTAGACAACATTCCAGCTGAACACACATCATCAGCAACGTATGTTATCTGTTTAGGCCTTTGCATGGTTAAAACACACTAAAATTAGGCTGTGTTCTCTAGCAGTGGATAGGAAAGGAGCCAGTTTCTCTCTGCTGCCTTGTTTGTTTGGGCTATCTGCATTGTGGGCCAAAGCAGGCAAGAATTAACTGCACATTTAAGTACATTACTATAAAAAAAAATCAAATGGTGAGATTCTGTGCAGCAGTTTTTAAGAAATGCAATCCATGGCTTGGTATCAGTGCACCCATACCACTCCAGTTCTGGGCTGATACAGTTTCCCTACAGGGACTCTGAATGAATCTCCGTAAATTTCTCACCAAACAGCCTTTCCCTTCCCCGCAGTGGAAGTATTAGGAGCCATCCACTCTCATATCAGAACCAGGATCCTGGCCCACTTGGTACCCATCACAGTTCTTTCAGTAGACCCAGTATGGTTTGTACCTTGCTGTTGACTGCAAGTAACTACTACTACCCCGGAACCAAAGAGCTTTCTCGAAAAGCACTGCTTAACAGTAAAAGAATTTCCATTGAGACAGCGGTTAAAAATGCCATGAGATTTTTTTTAAAATGCCAGTAACGCTGTTCCTGAAATGCTTAACAAGTGCCTGTTTGAGCTTATCTCTGATAGGTATCAGTCTCATAGTTTGCCTTCAGCCCTTTTTCTCACTTGACATTTTCATTTCCAAGCCTAAGATTGACACAGCCAGGCAGGCAGCTCCTTCGTCTACTTATGGCTCAACTGGCATTATTTTATTTATATGAAACTTTTTATCTTGGGCTTTCTTATCTTTTGGTCCTTATTTCACTTCCTGTTTAAGCCAAGTTGCTTTGGTGCAGCTTAACTCTTGGAGTTCAGGCTCGTAAGAGTTACTGAGCTGAGGAAGGAAGCCCTATCACCCACAGAGTCAGCAAAAGAACGGAAACACGTCCCAAGGGTAACAGTAGGACAGACCTGGAGGACTTACATTTAGGCTGCAAAGCTGCTTAATTTCTGCAGTATCAGCCTTGGTGCATCTCTCGTTATCTACATACTTAGACAATGATCTCTGAGGACTGCCAAGTTCCTTCCACTGCCTTCCCAGGAAAAGCTACTCCTGACTGGTCTATGGTCCATAAACATGTAAATGACACTGACGGTCTCACTCAAATAACAGTGACAATCTCACTCAAAATACGAATACACCTTCCTAAAGTAAACATCCAAAGTATTTAACATGCTACTGACAACTGAACATACTCTGCAGTCCTGATGCAATAATTTCTTCAAATGTTAAACTGAAAAGCAATACTTGAACTAATGACAAAGCAGCAATTGCAGTACCAATTTGTAGCAAAGTTAAAACAAAAAAATGCCACATTCTACCTCTTGGAAGTTTTCTATTTAATCTAGGACGCTGACTTTTTTAAAAACCCACCACACAATAATTCAGTACAAATTAGACATGTGTTTGGTTGTTAGTCTAGGAAATATTAAATACCCATTTCAGACTAACTGACAAATTAATCTTTAAATTCCAGGAATGTATTCATTACTGTACGGGCTCTGAACAAGATTTGGTGTCCTTCAGCATTTATTAGCATATTTTCATTGTATGTGGTCAAGCTTGTGCAAAAAAGGAAAGTGATTATTTTTAATTTTGATGAGAGCAACTAGAAGATATCCAATAAGCTGTTATTTGCCTCGTATCACCTAAAAGGATCTGGGGTGGGGGGAAACTTTTTTCACCCTTAATGCTTAAAGACTCTTACAAGAACTCTGTGTGAAACTCTGGATCCACTTAAACTAATATAAGTTTGACATTCACTTCAATATAAATAGGATCTCATTTTGCAAAAATAGTGTATTTCACTAGTCAAGAATTGTAACAGACATGAATGGAAACAAACTCCTATTTTTGAAGTTACCACAAGCAAAGCTTTTATACATACTGCATAACAGAAGGTATAGCCATTTTTTACAACTGTCCAATATTTCCTGTTTGTTTTTAATTTCAGACTTTATTCAGAATCTACAATCCGTAGTAAGCAATCCACGTGAAAGGAATACAAGCAATATGAAAAGGAAAAGTAAAGCCAAAAAGAAGAAAAAAAATTACTTCTCTGTTTCCAGTTGTGCTTTTTCTGCCTGAGTCCTTGCATGTTGACATTCTTGTTTCAATCTTTCTATCATTTCCTTCAGCTTCTGATTAGACTCCAGTAAATTATTTTCTGACTGAGCAAGTGAGGCAAGTTGGAGTTGCATATCGTGCATTTGCTACAAAGAAATGAAATGTTTCCATTTGATAAGGTATGCAACTAACTAAATTAATTTTGAGATACTGAGACAGAGCAAAATGCAGAACACCAACTGGCTGCATTAACTTTTCATAAGCCTTTCTTATCTGTTCCTTTTCTCCTTACTCAACAAGCTTCTCCGGAAGCTTTACAGTAAATCACTACTAGACAAGGAAGGTTTTCTATTGTAGTTAAAACGAGAAAGAGAAAGGGAGGCAGGAGTCTTCAGTTGTTGATGTGTCCCCCAGAACTTAAGAAATCCGACATTAAGCCTCAGGGCTGAACAGAACTAGAGCACCACACAACATTCAGTAGCTGAGCTGTGGAGCTACCCAGACTCTTCCCTCTCATAATGCACAATGCATTACAGCCCGCCGTGGCTGTACCAAACCAGTTCACAAAACCAAGTCAAGTGTAGAGTCTGAAAAGTCCAACCTCTGCAGCCAGCAGGACGTGGAAAGGATGAATTCCCTTTCCTTTTCCTCTCCCCACATGCACACTCAGATACCCCAGTTTCTGATTTCTGGAGGAAAAACAAATATTGCCTTGAACTTCAAGTGCACACAGCTTGCAGACTACTTTGATGCACAGCTATGTTCTTACCTACTAAACATAACATCATGGGCGAGCAGGAGTTAAAAGATTTAGGTTTTATTTTCAACACTGCCATCAATTCACTCTGCAATAGAAATATACCTCTTTACACTAGTTTATTCATTTATGAAACATCTGTTAAGCACTTGAAGAACCTCAGATGAGAGATGCAGTGTAAATGCAAAGCATTACCTAGAAACAATTTATAAGTCTCCATGGAAACTGAATCTCCAGTTAAATAGTGCATAACCATATTCAGTACACCAGTCTATAAACATTCAGCTTTGAAATCCTTGGTACCCACAACACGCATGAAGGAAAGAGCTGTAATCCATCTATAAAGGTCCAGGAAAGCATGACTGATTTCTGAACGCTTCTGCTTTTAAGTATCTGTTATATGCATTTTGTCCCTCAGGAAAAAAAAGCCTTAAAAATTCAATCTAATCTTCAAACGCTGGACATGGTAACCACAGGAAAGATTGTATTTCTCTATAAAACATTACAATGCAATAAAACCTTACCTGCTTCAGATCAGCACTTTCACGTTTCTTTTCTTCCAATTCCTCTGTCTGAATCGCTTGCTGTTGAATTTTTAATCTAAAATTGTATAAGACATCCTTATTTTTATCTAATTAAAATACAGATGTTAGAAGTTAGGACAAATCAGTCTGACAATAGAATACATTGCGTAATTTGAAGGGCTGATAAATATTTAACTAAACAATGATTAAAAATATTTTTTTATTGATTATTAGAATTCATATAGGAGTAAGAACTATGTTGATTTGTTTGCTTTTGGAGTATGACTTTTGCTCATTTTATCATACTGACCTTCATACAAATACCATAGTAAAACAACTTCACTGAGAAGTATAATAACCAACTCAAAGAGATGTCACATTAGGGTCCCAGTTTGCCAGCTGCTGATACAGTACCATTGTGGAAAGAGCAATGGTTTACTCTAACGCTGGGGCTATGCCAGCAGCCACCATGGACCCAAGTTTAACAAACATGAGTACTGCAAAATTATGTCTTAAAAATGTTCAATAAAATAATATAATTTTTAGAGGTTTGGATGAAAAATGTTCTTTTTTTAAAAAAAAAAAACCACATTTTTAATTCTGCCTTCTTTTTACACAATGCAAAAGATAATTTTGCTTAATTTACCATAATGAACATTTGTGTATCTATGAATAGTAAACTTCTACACTGACTACTGTAAAGAAATCAGGGGGGAAAAAATGAGGAATTTGTGTTAAGGTTAGAAAAGCCACACTACCGCAAACGCTGAAGTTCCTTTTTGCTAGATTCTTCTGCCAACTGTACAACACGTAGTTTCTCTTCATACTGATCCTTTTCAGATTGTCTCCAAGTATGTTGTTCCAGTTTCATCTTCTCTAGATCAGCTAATCTGTTCTCGAGTTCTAACCTGAGACATTATTCAACATGTACACAAGAATCATGCCAAAATGCCAGAAGTGTCTAGTTGCTAAGAATGACATTTTTTAAAGTTACTCAAAACACTCCTCTTTTAGAAGTTGAGCAGTAAATCAACAAACATACTTTTCATCCTGTAAGGCTGCAATTTTTTCAAAAACTTCCTCTTTGGCAGCTTGCACTTTACGAATTAGCTCCCGATCCTTTTCTACTAAAAGCACCTTATGACGTTCAACAGCTGCCTTAAGAATTTCCTTGTCTGACAGCAATCCTGCATTATACATTAAAAGAAGTTAAAATGTCATTATTGATATCAACCTGATGAAATCCAGTATTAAACTAACTTTATAAATTGATAAAAGGGAGCTAAAAATCACAATTCACATGATAGAATGAATGAATGGGGAAAAAACCCAAGAAAAACAGGAGAGACATGGCTTTTCTTAGTATAACAGCAACATTTCAAAAACTTTTGAAGAGTAACCGTTACACTGGAATCTCTGTCTGCAAGGGTTTATTATTTTAACATACAAAAGTAATTAAACAGTTGATATTATTATAGATTTAAACTCTAAAGCAATTTCTGCTATGCAGTTGTGTCTGGATATTTAAAAAAAAAAAAAAAAAAGGGTTCAAAAAAAAAAAAAAAGCTCCTTGATTGTTTGAGGCTGCAGCTAATGCTTGGAGAAATGTTGTGCAGCATGCCTGTACTTGGAGCGCACGGTAATGTGCCGTCGGAGGAAGTTCCTGTATTGGGTACAGAGGCAGCTCGGGACTAACTCCTGCCCAGATGTGTTCGAACACAGTGTTGGCCTTACGCATTTAAACAGGGAAGTGGGCTGGGTTGGGTCCCTGTGTTGTGAGTGATGGCTAACGCGGGCCACCCGCTTCATTGCCAGCAGTGCTGCCAGCTGATGTTGCTCTAAATTTTTTTTTGGGGGGGAGGGAGGAGAGAGCAGAAGTCATCCCCCTCTGTAAGTTTTAATATATCAAGTAAATGTTAACGTAGAATTCATTTTGCAGAAAGTTACTGGGGTTTGGGATATGTTTAGCATTTGGATGGGGGGTATCCCCCCCCACTCTTTTTCTGCCGTAATCAAGACTTTAACCCTGCAGCGGGTGAAACAACACTTCAGACGATCCCTGTCTTCGGTGGGTGGATTCCTCATCGGTAAATAACAAACACCGTGCTGGTCCAGGGATGCCAAGGGCAGGGTTTATCGGAAGTCCTCTTGCCATCCCAGCACGGGAGAAGAGGCATGCGATGCCCAGCCCCGGGATGCCCGCCTCACCGGGAGCAGGCGGCCCCCCAGGGACGTCGGTTCGGGTTGGGTGCTCACCGTGGCTCATGCCAGGCTGTGCAGAACTGGCTAATGAAGCTGCCGGCCGGCTTTACAGCCCTCATACCTCTTGCTCCCCTATCAGCCCCAGCCACCGATTGGTTTCATACAGCTCCTGACAGACAGGCAGAGATAGTAACTTCTGTTACTACCAGACGGGGACGGTGATTAGATAGGGAGAGTTTCTCTATCTCGTTTTTTTCCAGATAGAGTATAGGGCTTAGGGACGTGCTCTAGCGTATATGCTTTCCTTCACGGGCGCTGAGTGGGGAAGCTATTGGAAACTTGAGGGATTGGCGGGAGGAGTGAATATAGGGGTTTTTATTTATTTACTTTGACATTTTCTTTTAAACTATTTTTAAGAAGTACATTTTTACCAGTTTTTCTGTCTGGAAGAAGGAATCTAATGGGTTTTTTTTCCACTCACAGCTTTTAATTACATCATTGCCATCATCGGGCCCTTTCTACAACTCCCACATTGTTCAGCAGACACAGTGAAATGTTTTTAGGAACCTATAAAAGCCAGTAATTTGCATCCAGAGGCCATGGCTGTAGTCGGCGTTCAGGCAAGCGAAGCAACTGCCTGGATAACTTTATGGCCGGTACATGTGCTGCATTGTGTAGTGCGCTGCCGTGCTGCAGCCGGAGAGGAGCGGGAGCGTGGCTGCTGCATGCCTGTGCCTCCCGCACAGATTGCATTGCGTGTACCATTTAATTAAGTAATGAAGTTGTTAGGGCTCGTAGCCGGGAATCGGGCTCCCCAAAGGTCCATTGTGCCAGGGAGCTGAGCCGGAGCCAGCCGTCCGCTGCGTGCCGCTGAGCCTGCCTCTTTCCCTGGCTCCGTGCTGGCTTTTCTCAGCCCTCTCCCCGGCTTTTGCACCCCGGGGGTGCGACTTGTGCCTCCTTTCGGTGTTGGCCTCCCCTTAGTTATCGCATGGTGGTTGGAGTTGAACCTCAAGATAAGTCGTGTCGTTCTCGGTGTGGGATGCAGCCTTGCAGTCAGGTGAAATGGTTTGTGACGACTGACTTGGCATGGGGCATCGAGGGCTCCCACGCGTCCACAGCTTTCGGAAACCATCAGTTTCTGAGGCTAATGAGGGCCTCATGTTGCAGAAATATGTTAAGGTTTAGGATGAGATTTGCAAAATTGCCAAAGAGCTCTTTCTCATATCTGTTTGAATTCGGGCAGTCAAAACATCTTAAGTAGCTCTGAAAATGTCACTGTGGAAGATCCTGCTCATGGCTGGTCTAGTTGAATAAAAAAGGCTAAGATGCTCCAGAAAGGAGAAAACATTCTCTCTTTTTAAAGGTGATATAGGATGGCTGTGGTTTGGTATTTGTTGTGTAAAAATTGTAAGTAATTTCTCAGCAAGAAAGAGCGAGCTGTCTGTGTCAGCGGGCTGCGAAGCCGTGAGATACAGGACCTCAGAGCATTCAGGGGCCAGGGGAGAATTCTTTAAAAAGTAGCTAAAAAACCATAAATATTCACCTTAAAATGTCTTTTTTTTTAATTGAATTGGGTCTGATTTTTGGGGGGGGGGGAGGCTGCTAGTTCTCACTAGGCTGAATTGAACTTGGACTTCCCATCCATACAGGATTTGCATGCGTTTTTATTTTAATGTCACACGTGTGTATCTTCCAGACTGCCAGCCTTTTCAGTCAGGAGCACAACATTGTTTTTTCGTTACTGCTTTGTACACTCGTGCTTCCCGACCGCCATATATTCTGCCCGTTTGAAAGCATAAAGCGCCGCTCTGCTCCTTGAGTGGGAAATAACAGTAAGGATGGTGCGGGGTGTGTGGGATGCCTCTGCCCCCCTCACGCGGGTCTTCTATTCCCAAGATTTCCCAGATTCATCTATTTCTGCTCCTTAAGTTATATCAACATCAACAAAGAAATAAAGCCAGGTCCTTACTTTTAGTACAGACACCATGAACAGGCTATTCAGTGTGTGCTGGGCTCCCAGCAGGCACGTTTCTGCCAGACAGAGGACTTTTTGATTCCGTTTTCTTCCTCCATCTGAATAGGCTCTGGCTGGGGGCGAGATGTCTGTTGTTAGATGAGGGGGACCGAATACCCGATGGGTTCGGGCTCTTCAACACTCATTGGTGCTCGCATGACCTGGGGAAGAGAAGATGGTTTAGTTGAGGATGGGGAGAAATGTTTGTCTTTGGGAGGGTTGACCCATCCCCTCCGACGGGCACCCCGAATTTAGGGGGATGCAGTGCTGCGGGCATGTACACCCCACGGGGCCGCCGGGGGAGGATGCTCCCTTGGGAGGAAGGGAGATGGGGGAGACAGTATTCCTTCTGGCCTCAGAAAGTTGTCTGGGAGTCAGAAATGTGCAGGGCTTGTACGTAACTCAGCCACATCGTGCCGAAACACGCTCCCTGAAATGGGGCCGGGGTGAGCCGCAGTGACTGACAGTGCCTTCTCCTGCCCAGAGCCTGAATCAAACTGCTTTTCATGGCCTCGAGTGTTTGCCGAAGTGGTTCCCAGCCAAGACAGGAAACTATTTGACTTAGGGTGCTAGAGAGCTCCTCTCATGGTATTTACAGATAAAAGGGGAGGAGTTGAAAACCTTAGTCCATATTCAGCCCAATCTGATAACCTCCAGGGATTTTATTAGTTCAAAGAAATTTTGGATAGCAAACTTGTGTGCTTAACTGGAGCTGAAGCCCTAACCCTTGGAGGCATCCAATCTTAGTAAAACCTTAAAATAACAAATGCTGCTTGTAACTCTTTTTTTTTTTAATGTTTTAAAACCACTAGGTCATTCTAAAAGTTAATAGTTAGGTAAGAATATGTCCCTGACGTTTAAAATTCAGTGTCTCTCCTGAGCATTGATGGCACAGAAACCAGTTTTGTTCAACAAACTTCAGTCTGTGAGGGGCTAAAAGTAAGAAATGTGAATTATCTTCAGTAACTAGATGGGCAGAATGTGTTTTATAGGATTAGATTAGCAAAGCAACAGTAAAATGACTGTTTTCTAAGGTACTTTACTAGGTTATCAGGTAGCTTAATGCTGTGCCCTCTTGTTGGCTGGAGATCACCAAGACCTCTCTGCAAGCGGTGGTTGTCTTGTAGATGGAAACATCTAAAGTGTGCAAGAAAAGGAGACCCTGTGCAGTTCCTCTGCCCTGGAGTTAGGTATGTCCTGGCGGCTCTCCTGGTGTTGGGTCGGGGCTGCTCCTTGGACAACTTGTGTCCGCTCAGCAGACACAGATGGAAACTCCTCCATGCCCTGCTCCTTTCTGCTTCTTCCTAGCTCTTAACTTTCTCCTTTTCCCTGGATTTTTATTTCATCACCACCACCACTGGCTGGGGGGGGGGACCTTGGGCAAGGTACGGGCTCTGTTGGAGGTGGTAAAGAGGGTCTGGTAGGACCGTGAGTGCGTTGCCAGGCTTCCAGCTTTTTTTTCTGGAGACTCTGCTCCTTTCTTTGCAAGCCTAGAGCTACCTTCCGCTTCAAACAGGTAGATTCACTCGCTGATTAAAAAGCATTGTTAATTTAGAAGGAAGGCCACATTCTTTCTCAACACCATCATTAATTAAAGACTAGGAAATTGCCAATTCACCCGACATTCACATCCTTACCAACCTATGCTCACATAATTTATTGCCCAAATATCTTAATGCCCAAGTACATGCTGAGGCCCGTACACAAAACCTTAACTCCAGTCTCATATATTTTTCCTATGCATAATTAAGATGATTGCTTCTTAAAACCTTGAGTATTTTTGGTAAAACACCTTTGTTTTTCTGAGGTTGGATTTTTAGATTGTGCCCAAACATGGGCACTGACTGTGGCCGCAGCTTTATGAAACGATGTATAATCCTGTGTGTATGGGTGTGAATCATAATCCCCAGATGAAAATAGCTCCTGCAGAGCCCTGTCTCTGGGAGGAGCTAAAAAACCCAAGATACCCAA